GTTTTTGTCCATCTCCTATGTCATTCTCCCTCTGTTGCCTCATATGACTCACACGGGATGATATCGGGTAGTAAATACTTACACTGATATTATACGGTTATAGTGATTTTTGCTTCAGTTTTATGGTTCCACACTATTTCACACCATCATCCTATTTCATTAATTTCAAACCTTGTAAGGGGGTGTAAGGATATCTACATATCGTCCCGTGGGTATCGCAAGAGGCGTCAGGGGGAAACTATAGCAGCAGAATCTTCCTGAAAACAACTCACATAACATAAACATAAACACTCACGCCTGTCACCCAGAGGGGTAGGTAGAGACTACGGACTTCCATTTGGCATGATCCTGACATACCTCTTTTGCCTCCTTTACATCCATATATCTACGCATACATGCTCGTCGGTTAAGGGCACGTCTAACGTGGCCCATTTTCAAAATATCGCCAATTTGGTCGATAAACTTTTTTCTACGGCGTCCCTTCCCGACTCTGCCGTTCACATCTGCCATATAAATTTGCTTTGTCACTCTTTCCTCATTCACTCTTTCTACATGACAACTCACAATAATAATAAAACCCGCCTGGCAAGCGTGCAGCTGTGGCAAAATCCTCCCTATGAGACAATCTATGAGGGACGCCCATGTTCAGTAGTGGAGTTTTTTGAAGGGTAATGAAATCTTTTTTATATGTGAATAATTGCAATTTACCATAACTTGGCGTATATTTATAGTTACGTTCAATTCTCGAATTGTAATCGTACATTTTTTATGTTTATTAAACAGGGCTCTATACAATTTACGTTATTAATAATATCTTTCCGTTTCTACCTCCTTCTTTGGACAACAAGATGCTTATCAAGTTAAACAGTCTCGCAATAAATAATTAAGTTTAGGGGTTCATTTTATTATTGAAATACTGTACTGTATATTATTTAATAACAAATAAATAAATAAAAAAAAACTGGAAAATCCAAAAGTGCACAACTTGAACGCTCTCAATTTTTAAAGCTACGTTTAACACGAAATTTTTTTGACTGCTTGGTACCGGTGATTCGTAAATTGTTACCGAAAAAAATTGTTAAATATTAATAAATGGAACAGTTTATAATAGTGACATTCAAAAGACTTCCTAATCCAAAGCTATTAAAAAATCAATCAAAAGTGATTTAGTTCAATTTTTCAAAAGATTTCTTGTACAGATCCATACCGACCAACTGACGTCCAAGTGAAATTATTTTCAATAAACTTTTTTTTATAATATTCGAAATAAATAATATTTTAACTACGTCAGATGTACTAATTGAAATATTATCTTGTAAATGTTGTACTTTTTTATTATTTGCAATATAAAGTTGTTGGCAGTGATTTATGTTAAGTGGACTTCGATTTTTTGATGTAGTGACAACATACCAAGACATCTCCGTTTAGGGTTAAGTGTTTGCAAAAATAACCAACCGTTTGCTGTCGACATTCCACGTATTTGAGTTAAACGGTTTCCTTCGTAGTTTGTAATATACACAGCAAAAGAGTAGCATGTCTGCATATTATGTCTTATCATTCGATTGCAATGTGGATATGTTTAAGGCAGTATTGAATAAGTATATATTAAGCTAAGTTAGCGTGGTTTAACTACTTTGACTACACCATCACACCAGTAGGTTGGATATTGAAGCACTAGTAAGCGAGTAATAGTTATAGGTAAAAAATCTGTGATAGAAAGTGTTAGAGTGGTTAAACTATAGACATCCAGTACTCGCAGGCGGTGGTGGTAATTGGAGGGGGAAGGGAGAGGGTTCACGGGAAGCCCTCCTACCCTTTCCCCTTTGCAAAAATGTATAGTTTATGAGTAATATTTTTTTTGTAAAATCATAACTTTACTTTTTTACACAGGAATATTAACACAAAGTTACTTCGGATTCGGCACTGCGGTAAGTTCAGCCCCTTCGCACTTGCGTACCAAATCACAGGCACCCATGCTCGTCTCCGCAGCTTCGGCTTAATGAAGATGACAAGGATTTTTAAAAGGTGGATTCCTTATTCCAACTTCTAATAAATAAATGATTATCCAAACCAGAAAACCCAACTACCATTATAAATATTTTAACAACTTATGAAATTAATGAAATTAAATCTGGTATATTATTTGGTAAATACGGTATACACCATACATTTTATTTTTAATTTTATTTTTAGATAGCAATTTTTGACAGTTCATTTATTGTGCGCTATATTTATTTTATGCTGACGTCAAGTTATGTATTATTTTACCCTATTCCTGAAGTAAAATTCAAGATGTAATACACGCAATTATGATAAATCGATTCATCTATCATTTGTTAAAATTTTATATGCAATAGATTATTATTTATATACCTGTTTTTTATGTATCTTGTGACGACTCAGTGGCGCAGTGGCTTGGCAATGAGTTGCAGTGCTGAGGGCTACGGATTTTAATCCCGCACGGAACAAGAATACTTCAGGATCTATTTGTTTATCCTTGTGCAATAGATGTTTGTAAATTGCCTCCACGATGGAGGAGAAAATCCAAGTATGGTGGAGAAAATGAAAAACGTACTGGTGGAGTGTTATATTTACACAAATCACTTCAAACTAACTTTACCCCATAACTCTTCTTAGTTTAACAGTCAATGAATTATGTACATTTAACGTAATGATTAAATTGCTGGTACACTAGACCAGTAATTCATTATATTTATATCATTTCACACAGGCTTAAAACTTTTAAAAAAGAAATTCTATTTATAATACAATTTAATAATATATAAAACTTGCTATATTACATATTATAAAGTTTTGAGTAGCCCATAACTATTGAAATTTATATGTAAACTTATTTATTTACTGTTTAAAGTTTTCCATTCGTAATTGTACTGGCTCTATATCAACCTATTTGAATAAGATTTACGTGTCTATTGGGGAGATCATGATACATTTTCTCGTCAGATATAAAATAAGAGTGAAAAACGAGCACACAGTTCACCTGCTAGTCCGCCTGCTGCTGAGGACTAAGATGAAATGTCTTGTTTCCAGTAAAAAGTGTTTTTGTTTATCTATACTTACCATATGAAATGCAGCAGCATTGAGCTGCTATTTTACTATTTTAGTGTTTGATGAGCAAGTGATGCTTGCGGCAGGCTTATGTTCAGCAGTGAACTTGTGAATGGCTATAATGATAATAATAATATCTACTTCACTTAATGTCTAATTCACTTACCGTTAGGTGAACTTACCTCTTATGAGTCCATAGGTTTCTGCACCCATTGTTTATCTGTATGTCTTACCAAGTCGTTATTCTATATAGTAGTATTTCTTACTTTAGTGGAAAAAAACATACACATATCTTTCATATATTAAAAATAGATTTACAAGTTACGTCCTCTTAGCTTAACAAATTCGATAAAACTGAAGTATGATTCAAGCAATCCATCTCAATGCATTTATCTAAGTCACAGTCAATTTACATCACACGATATAAGATTTATGGATATCATTGAATAATGGTTCAAAAGTTTACGTGTTTGTTTTTAACATGCCTTTAGGTATCTATGAGGGTATTCATAAAGATAATATCCTAAAATTGGGAAAATAACGGCAGAAAGACATTGTTGGCTCCAAGATAAATCTTGAAATTTACAGGGATAACTAGAATTTTACTTACAGTAAGTTTAAATGATGTGAGTTTGTTATTGCTGTCACGTTTATTTCAAACACTAGACAATAGTAAATTGAAACACTTAAGACTTTTATTTTTTTTTTACATTTGCCACAAATAAGTGGCAATTAACAACTTTAACTTTGAGAAGGATATTATCAATTAACGATATTTTTTTTAAATAATTGTCACAGGGACTACTACAAAAACTAAATCAAGGATAGGCTTGAGTGCCACAGTGAACACCCTATAGGGTTGCCATCCACGTGTCATGATGGTATTATGCAAGATAATAACAAATTGAGACATCATTATGAGAGCCGATTTATCGAGATAGGGATGAACAAACTAAATTAACGGAGTCTAATCATTCCATGGCGCAACTCGACGAAGTAACTCGGCGGGAATCAAATACAGTCACGATGACTCACCCGCCCCAGCTAAGCGACCAGCCACCGCCATACACACGAGTGCCCCATGCTGCGATTTTTAAAACTAAAATATGCCAGAAATAGCCCGGAATATTCAATGGCAACGGGAAAAGCGGAGTGAGCAGAATGTATTCGCGTACAAAGAAAATGATTACGTAATCGCTTTTCAGAACATAGAGGGAAAGCCATTTTAAAGCCTTATGATAAATTTAGGGCAGCAGAAATCAAAGTTTTTTTGTATATTTACAACGTGGCAAAGGAAGTGTCCATGTGTGATATCGCTGACAATATTAATAAAAAGAGTAACATAGAGGTATACATAGAGAAAATGAATATGAAAATAACAAAAGACCCTTTAAGATATTCGTACCTGAACATAAATTGAAAGTATTTATGTCAGAATACATTTGGCCGGAAAGAGTTGCCTATCGTCGGTCGGTTTATTGACTTTAAGCATCGCGGTAAAGGTAGCACTCATAAGGCTGGCGGGAATAATTAAAAGCACCATGACTAGTACCGCTAAAGTGGTAGGTTTTAATTGCAAGAATATTGTCAGATCCCACCGACAATATTTTTGGATGCTGAGATTATGTCGTCTAGCCGACGTGGTGGCGCTGCAGGAACCTGTCTACTACCGGACGACGTCGCGTACCTAGGAAGCCTTGAAAACGACTTCACCTTCACATACACATTGCTGTAGATACATGAGCAGGCGAGCACGCCTGATGGCTGATGGCCTTCCGTGCAGCAGCACGGAAGGCCATACGGCGGAGTGGCTTCACTATGGAGAAAGGCTATTTATGCCACGGCAACCGTAGTAAAATTCAGTAGTGTACGGCTTGCGGCAATAAAAGGTGACTCTTAACGTTCGTTGTGTTATAATTTTTTCAGTTTAAATGCCTACCGACTCTAGTGATAATTTAGTGGAATTTATGGAATGTCTCAGTCAGATGGCTGTTATTATAAACAAACATTTATTAACTAATATGGGTGCGTCTTTTCCGAAATAAATGCATTTTTATTATTATTTAAATCTAAATCCTCCTACTGTTTTATATATAATAGTGGTGACAAACCTGTATTCAGTTCAACTGATGGTAAGTGCAATTTGTTGCTCAAATCTCAATATCTTTTCGATTAATAATCAAAATGCAGATGCGCCGTTGTTATCTCTGAGAAATAAGATATTAAAGCATCGTTTTTAACCTTTTTTTAATATTCAAAGCCAGCGCTTAACTACAATCCCGCCTGATGGTCAGTGGTGACGGATATATGTCGCCATCAAGTGCACATACTAAACAAAAACCTATTCACTCCTGCCTTGAGGACATCCACATTGTAATCGGATGGAAAGACAGATGCTGGCAACTTATTTCACTCCTTTGCTGTACGTATGACGAACAGTGTAACAAATTGCTTGGTTTTAATGCGTGGTAACTCAAAAACGAAAGAGCGGAGGCGAACCAAACGTCAGGTTGTCCAATCGTAAAACGAAGACCGAGGAATTAAATTATGCAATTCCTACACCCAATCTCCAAAATGCATCCTGTAGAAAACCAAAAGGCTTACTATTTCGGGTCTATGTTCGAGGGTGGTAAGATTAGTTTAAACCTAATCGGGGTCTACAATAAAATAAGTCACTTAGCACGCCTTTCCATTGAGTTTAACTGCTAGGCGGCATTTTGCAGCACCAGCTTTATGGCGGCAGTAATCCATACACGAACGGACTTGCAGTTTATATATAAAGTAAGCAGCTGTCCCGGCGTAAAGTACCACTGCACCTTTGCAAGGATTCCTAGCTTCCTTGCAGATACTTTGGCCTTGGACTTAATGAACTGGTTGAAGTTCAGGTTTGGGCATATCTTAGTTTCCGATAAAAACTGACACCCGAAAAGGGGGCTCCCAATAAACACAAATGTTTTATTTGCATTCGCTGCCCACTCCCTGTCAGATTATAAATTTTTTAATACTGTATAGCATCCGCTACCGTTATAGCCTATCGAAAGTCCACTGCTGAACATAGGCCTCCACCATAGAATACTTAGAAGAGGCACAGAACGATATGGGATAGTGGATATTATTACATCGCCTGTACATACATCATCAACTCTATAGCAACGTATTACGGTGTACTATGAATCAACATGTATGGATTTAATTTTTTAAGCTATTGCATTTGGCCTTGAGCGCGGGGACCGAATCCAGAAATTCCGTAATGAAAAAAAACCTCACGCTCCCCACTCCGACGGGCACGGAGGTGTGGCGTTGAAAGCCGTGCATCGTCTAACGTCGTTTCAGTTCGTCAGACTTCGGCACTCGGCAGACTTCGGCACGGTGTTTGTGTGCGTGCGACTAGACGTATGCGTGTACAATAGCTGCTAACTCAATGATAAAAATTCCTGAATAACCTACATGTATTGTAAGATATTAAAAATATTTTAAACAATATTAACTTCTCATTTATTCAATAAGAGAAAAAAATTGTTTTCTTATCGGTGACCACGTTCAAAAAGTGTAACTTGATTTAATATCAAAGACTTAACTGCATAAATAAAATATATAAATAATTATAATTGCATAAGTTGATAAAAAATGCTATGCAATAGCTTTACCGCGGCAGTCACCGAGTGCCACACGTATTTTTTTAGTATTGTCCTAAATAGTATTTCATTAAATGCGTAGATTATTTAATGCTTAAATTAATTTACGAAAATCTAAATCGATCCCCGCCGCACCGCTCCGTGCCATCGCTACGTAATAAAACTGTTCGCAACGAGCGGAACGAGGGCCCTGTTAATTGCTATTTAATATTTCCCCAGCGTCATGTAAACTAGAGGAAGATACAAAATGAACGGCTAAAATTCATTAATTTTGAATGATCTTAAACGAAAAATCGGTTATATTCATGTAGAGCTACATAGACAATTATTTTAAATTGTTTTAGTGAGATTAGGTTATATATAATAAGTGAGATTAGGATAGTATTACCTTGTTTTGTGGCTAGTGTAACAGAGTTATTTTATAATACTATTAGTAATGAAACGAACTGCAATGAAGTGAATTAAGATTTACGACCGCTGTCCCCATTTGGGCCACTTTTTCAAGTACCCACATTTTTTAATTAGCTATCTTTTGTTTGTAAATGAATTTGTAGTGTCAAGGAGTTTGACTTTGTAATAAAACTTATAGTCTTGTAATTTTTATTGGCTAAAGTGGATAAACTTAGTGATTTTTTTTACATCATTGAGCAACTAGATGTTTGACTAAAGGTGAGTTTTTTTTGTAGTAACATTGGTATTTAGTTTGTTTCTTTTGTATTTTCATTTGGCCATAGTTTCTTCAAGTAAATAATGCTATCATTTCGGGTATTTTCTGAGATTTGCCCATAAGTGAGTTATTTTAGTATGGTGTCCCCGAATGGGTCCAATGGACTGATTGATAATATATTTTTGTTTTTGATTCGCAGATTCAATTACGGCAAGAACATTGAGGAAGCGATCGTTTGAAGTTCTTAATGGTTATAGAGGACTCGAAGAAGCTATTGAAAGCATTTTAAATGAAAAAGATGATCCTAATGTCAGTTACGATATAGTGGCCACTCCCCCGGACCCCAATATTCTCACGAATAAAGAAGAAGGCTATGAAGGTGAAGTTCGCGCGTCAGATATTGTGAGGGAAAACAGGACAAAATTACCCACCATTATCTGTCAAGGACACGAAAAAGAAAAATCGAGCAGAATTTGACCACCGATTCGATATAATACAACCAATCAAATTTTGTTTGTACGATGGCTTGAGAACAGTGCTTGTACTATAGGTACAAATTACGTCTCCGTTTACCCTCTTTGCAAGGCAAGAAGATAAAGCTCTGCAGAAGTAAGAAAGGTAGATGTGGACATTCCTTTTGTGTTCCAGAACTACAACAAAAATATGGGCGAAGTTGCTCAAGCTATATTCTGACCACTGAAGACAAATAAAACCTGCTCCAGTTTAGCTGATGTACCGCCCGTCCCTACTTGAGGGCTGTAGTAACTGAAAAACCCGATGAAAGACATCGAAAATCTTCCGAGTAGTGCTTAGTATGAGTCTTAATGGTGTTGGATACTTCTCTTAGGAACTGCCGAGCCAGCTACGATACGTAGAATGTCACATAAAAGCATGTTAGCAATGTAAAAATTGCATCAAAACATTATGCTTCGAGAAAGGATGTTTCGAAAAATACCACACATAAACGCATTGGGCCCATTTGAGGACGGCGTTTTTTTGTACAAAAGGAAGTTTTTGTTTTTAATTTTTTTGTAATAAAATCTCTTAATAGCTACCAGTAGCCACTTCAACGAAGATTTTCAATAATTTTCTTGTAGTTTGTATTTGGGTCCAAATGGATTAATGATTTTTATTCAATAAAGATCATTGCAAAATTGTATGGGGTTTGGAAAATATCTCTGCCCTGGTAAGAACCAGCAAGAATCCCAGCGGGACTTTTTTTTTAAACATATTTTATTTTACAATAAATTTGTTGGCACAATTTTTAAATGCATTTTTATAGATATAGACCAGGATGGTAGCTATCACTTCATTCCCAGGGGTTATTTTCATTTAATGTATTCTTTGATATTAGAAAAAACATTTTTGTACCTACAATTTTCCTTTAATAAAACTTTCATACTTTTCTTTTCACTGAACTATCAATTAAAGCAGGAAAGAAATATATAAAACATAAACTACAAAATTATACAAATGAAAAGAAACCTATATGGGTTTCTTTTTATTTTTATAAACAGAAGGGCACTGCAGTCTGATTATAAGAAATAATACGAAAGGCGATGAATATAACTAATAATATGATAATGAGAATAACAAGGATACATTGGAAAGTTAAAAGCAATGTAGGAACTACTTCTTGCCTTCTGTATCTCTTTACGTCATCAAAGTGAGTTACTGAAGTTTGCGTGCGATGTGTTACGGCCTTGTTAAAACTCTCACAGGAGATATCCTTGGGATACTTGGCTATTATACCTTCCAATTCCTCTTCAGTGGAAATCTTCGTTTGGCATCCCGAGTGCTTCACATAGATTTCCCCATCAATATTCCAGACATTTCTAATTCCGAAGTTCTAACGGGCATTCTTATGTATACACTGACGAAATTTAGTCAGGAATTTACAATGGATAGACCCTTTTTAGCTTTGATTTTAAATTCCAGATCTCAGACTTAGTGCGATAATCAATAAAGTGCACAGGAATTGGTCCTGGACGGGTTCTGGATTGAACACCAAATCTGCGGCATTTCTTAAGAGTCATCTGTAATATAAGTTAGACCCAGATACTTGTGCGACAGTTGTAGAATTTGCTGATATGGGTCAACTTCAAAAGCCTCAGCTGTTCCATGAAAAAGCATCACTGTTCTCCGATGATACATACTGATTGCATTGACACTTTTGTTGTATTCCTGAATTTGGTATTGCGGCGGGCTAAAAACGGAACTAACAAGTACCTTGAACGAATTGAACTCTTTAAACTGTTGGTTTAGTTGGAGTAGATGCAGAAAACATCAAATTAATGAAAATATGCATAGGCTTTTACCGATTTTATGTTTAATAAGATGCGTGTGAATATAAGGAAGTAGGAAAATAAGAGCGGCGCTTTCGGCTCTAACAACCACGGTTGGCAGCCACACGTGTTATGCCACTGGAGTTGTTCAAGCTAAACTCTTGGCCGTTTTGCCACTAAACAGCATTCCACGTTTTCATTTATTCTGATCTAGAGGAAAAAGCATTACATCTTAGTTCTTACGTGGCGTACGTGGTAGAGCCATGCTGCAGTTATATTAGAAGTATAGTTTCAGCACGAATGGGTCGGCTCGGACCGGGAAAGGACCACACTCTCACAGAATACCAGCGTGAAATAGTAGTTTAATGCTGCTGTTTTTCGTATGGTGAGTGTAGAGAACCGGAGACCCTTTTTACTGGAAACGAAGCAGTCCATCTTAGTCCTAACGGGTAACAACGCATCTGCATTTTGATTTTGATATGTAATCAAGGATAGATGTAGTTGTCTTTGGGCCGTAGCAACCACTTACCATCAGGTGGACTGTGTGCTCGTTTGTCACCCTATCCTATAAAAAAGTCCTCATAGTAACGATGCATCTGACTTATATTGTTTTAAGTTATGCCTAGGTGTCCATGGCCTGCAGGCACCACTTTACTATAAGTTGACTGTTAGCTTTTGTTTCAACTTTTTATAGCATAGAGATGACAAACGAGCAAGGCGGTATGTGAATTCATTAAAAATTTTATCATCTATTTTGCCATCACGCTTCTAAATTAAGGTTAAATTTTATCTAGAATTTAAATTTTGGTATTGCTTATTTAATACAAAAAGAAAATATTACGTTGCATACATATAAAAATACACCAATTGAAAACCTGTTGATATTTGGTCTAAAAAACTACAAAAGCACTAAGTTTCAATTAAAACAAAACATTGACACATTTTAACGTTTAAAACGCGTCCGCAACTCAAGCTTATTACAAAAACATTATTCATTCAAAGGTCAAAATGAACATTTTAAATTACGAGTCTGCCCTTAATTTATTCCCTAATGGCTTCTTCCCGATGTACCTATTAACTGTTGGTCAAACTTTTATTCAAAAACGATTAGAAATTCAAAGTGAATTCGAATAAAATTACTTGCTCAAAAAGGGTCTGATTAACACATAAAGATCCGGTCTGCAAGTTTTTTTTTTTATAGGATAGGGTGACAAACGAGCATACAGTCCACCTGAGTGGTTGCTGTGGCTCATAGACATCTACATCTATCCTCGATTAAGAATAAAAATGCGGATGCATTGTCACCAATGAGGACCAAGATGGAATGTCTCGTTTCCAGTAAAAAGAGTCGCCGGTTCTCTACACTCACCATATGAAATAGGCTAGTATTCTGTGAGAGCGTGGTCCTTTCGCGGTCGAGTTGACCGATTGGTGCTACAACTATACTACGTAGTACTATTATTTATTCTGTGACCATACTACTAATATAACTGCAGCATGGCTCTACCAAATATCAACTTGATCTTTAAATATTTATCAGTGAAATGGTTAATTATTTTAAAATGTTCTTCTTCTTTATACTGCTTCCACTATGTTATTGTATTTTAGACAGCTCACACAGAGTAGTCGATTTAACTTTGTCGTAGCGTCTGCGAATATAACTCCAAATTAAAATATAGGCGATAAGTCGTCATATTCATTGACAAGGTCAAATCAGCCAGAAAGCAATTTTAAGGATGTGGTAAGGTGATAAATTAAAATCCCTAATGGCTTCTTCCCAATGTACCACAAACGGTTGGTTAAACTTTTATTAAAAACGATTAGAAATTCAAAGTGATTTCGAATAAAATTACTTGCTCAAAAAGGGTCTTATTAACACATTAAGATCCGGCCTGGAAATATCAAATTGGTCTTTAAATATTCATCAGTGAAACGGTTAATTATTTTAAAATTTTATACATCTTCTTCTTTTTTTATATTGCTTCCACTATGTTAATATATTCTAGACAGCCCACAAAGAGTAGTAGACGCAACTTCAATTTTCCAACAAAAAACTTAGCCCTTAAACCTATTCCGTAGCGCCGCAACAAAACGCTAAACTTTCGATGATCAGAGATTCAAACAAGTCGCCGTAAGACTTTTCACATCAGCTAGCCTTGTTTTACTTGGATTATTCCTCAAAACAAAAAACTCCAGAACATAATATTATTTTTATCATGACGTATGAGGTGTCATATGCCATCGGAGAAAAGTGCTGCTTTTTCATGGAATAACTGCGACTCTTGAAGTTGACCTATATCAGCAAATTCTGCAACTGTTGCACAAGTATCTGGGTCTAACTCATATAGAAAAAATTTAAAAAATTTAAAAAATCTTTATGGCAACAAAAACGAATTTATACATATCAATGTGATCCTAGCTCCTGTAAAAGGTTAACCTGAGTAACAGGAGCTAGTTCCTTCCTAAATGTAACAAGCTTTTGTTGAATAAAAACACAAAAATCTACGTGTTACTAAACCTACGTACGTGCTCGCCGTGTGTGTATGTGCGTGCGTGCGTGGTGAGTGCGAGCTTGCGCGTGCGTGCGTGCGTGTGTGTGTGTGTGTGTGTGTGTGTGTGTGTGTGTGTGTGTGTGTGTGTGTGTGTGTGTGTGTGTGTGTGTGTGTATGTGTGTGTGTGTGCTTACATGAGCTTATGTGTGGTGAGAGTGTGTTTTTACTATTGTTGCATGAATAAGTCAACTAGCGCCATCTAGTGTCAGGAACGAGAGCGAGGGGAGCTTTGCAGTAAATGACATCACAAATCTTTCGACCGACAGCGCCACCCGAAGTACTAAGTTTCTGGAAAATCTACACTCGAATACTCGTTGCCTGGTGCGCATTTACTTGAATGTTCGGGACGCTTCTTTGCTAATTATATAAATAGGCGCTGCAAGATGCGATCGGGGCAGAGTTGAACTCGGCGACACAAGCGAAGCTTCGGAGCGGAATTAAGTGAATTAGTGTGTTTAATTATTAGTGTTTTTAGTTTTAATTTGTGTAAAGTAAATTGAAGTGTTAATTTAGGTAATTTTATCGGCAATTTTTATTGTCACGAACCTCAAGCTCGTAACACTATTTTACTGTGAAGATTTTATATTTGAAATTTGTATGATTGCCTGCATTATTAATGATTTTTACGTATAATAACAAA